GCGGCCGTTAAGATCAATTGGGATTTGCTCCTGAAGCAGTATGCGCCTATAGGCGTCTTTGGCCTTATTGTATTGTTATTCATCTGGTTCCGGTTCTTCTGAGTTCAGGTTTGGAGCAAATGGAATGACTAACAGATGACCAAAGGGGGATGTAGTGAATCCTCTAGCCCGCTATTATTGGTCATAGTGGTGTAGAATAATAACGGAACAGATATGCCTGATCCCATGATATCGCCGGACATCAAGCGAACTATTTAGTATATATATATTGGTCAAGAACTTGTTTATAAGCGATCAAGCGGAAGCCACTATCAAAATGCAAATCAGCCGATTTCACTGTGATCCCGAGTCCGGTTATTGCTCCTCAATTTACAGGATAGATATGCGAGTAGCGCACAAAATTCGAATGCATTCAGAAATTTTAGGCATCTTGGCCGACCCAAACGCCTTGCTATCTCCCATCGTCAGGCTAGAATTATATATATACAAGGTCAAACCTAGACAGGGAACCCGTCCATCCATTTAAAGGTTCACACTCTCCCATTTTGTGTTGTTGGCAAAAGAGGTACCAGTCGTAAAAATTCATATCACATCATAGCACAGGCCATATCCCATACCACGTTCCATAAGGAGGGATTTTAAGTTTTCTTCTGCGACGTCATGAGCTTAGGGGAACAAGTAGGTGCCTACATAATCCTACAGTTCGAGGACGCAGGCGTGACATTCCCGAGAAGGTTGGCATGGGTCCACTCGAAGTGCTCTTGTAGGGCAGCGACGCTCTCGAACCCGTGCTCGTCCTGCGTATACCGCATGCGGTCCATGTCATCTGTGCCCTGCTCCTCGTAGTAGTACTCGTCGCAAAGAGGGCAGAGCAACGAGGCCTGCCACTCGCCTAGATCGGGTGGGAGGTGGTTTGCGATGGCGACGGGCGGGAAGATGATAGTCTTCTCCTCTCCCTTCAGCTCCATCTCCGTCTCCGGTCTGAGCTCCTTTGCAGTTGTTCGTCCTCCTGTGGACTTGAACGTTGGGTTATTACTTCCGTCTTCGAGCTCGACGTCTGAATCCTGTCCCGAAGTGGAAGGGTATTTACTAGGGTGAGAATACGGGCGCGGGTTGGTGAACGCTGTCGCTGCCCAGTTCTCGACCATACTTGCCGGCGATGTTGCGGGGCGCTGCCGTGTGCTCGGCATCGAACGTATGTCCTCCCATACGAGGAATCCGTCACAGAAGTCACAGACAAAAGCGATATCCTGGTTGCCGGGCCCCAAGCGCTGGAATGTTCCTGTTGAATTGCAGGCGGCGATCTCGCCGTTGGGTATTGTATTCGGTTGTGTCGTCGATGACGTCGATATTGATAGGTTCCTCCTTTGTGGGTGTTGTCTTTGCTGCCAGGGTTGAAAAGAGTGAGGTTGAGAATGAGAATTATGTAACTCCTGTTGCTGTTGGCTCCGCCATACTAGTAAGGCCCCTAGGCATCGCGGCCGTGAGGTAGAACTCTCGAGGTCATCGTGGATGCGCCGCACTGCCCGGCATTGTGCGCGGTGCAACTCCCTCCTCAACCATCTTGTCTCAGCGGGCCATTCTGGCTCTAAAGGCCCACCCGCCCGTACCCAATATTTCAAGTTTTGTGAGTGGTCCCGGAAACGAGAGCACAGTTCACGTAGTTCGTCGAGACTGTCGGCTGTGACATGTGGTTAGTTTGAGAGTATGAGATGTGCGAAACTTGTCAGCATATATAGCAGCTGTTGAGAGGGTTGAGGGATAAGCGCGGCAAGAGAAGCTCGACGCAAATGGATAGTCGCTTGACTGATGTGGTGCCTCATCTTTATCTCGCTCACAAGCGCTGCTCGCTGAGCGAGTGATCGCCTATCCCAGTGAGTTGGATGAGCGACGAGCACACACAAGTGCCCTCAAAAAAAGTAAATGAACGGTGCAGACATACCCTTGCGGTCATTCTCATAGTAGAAGCGCCCATTGACGAGCGCGGGAAGCTCCTGGAAATCCCGTTTCGCCTCATCGAGCGCCTCCTCGAGCAGGCGCAACTGCTCGAACTCGGGCGGCCCCCACGCCCGTTTGTCGGCGAACATGAGGACGCGCAGGGCATCCTGGATCGAGTTTGCGATGATGGCCAGCAGCGATCCCACCGTGTCGTCGACGACACTGCCGTCGCTACTCATGTCCGTGCATGCACAAGGATGCACCAGAACGAAGGAATAGGCGACAGTCGGCAGCCAGAGGGATTCACCGGCGCCCTCTCCTGGCTTGTCGTCTGGCGCGCGCCGCTTCCTCCTCGCCCTCGTCTCGGGAACTGGATCCGCGTTTCAGGGTTCTAGACGCTATGGATGTAGTATAGTATACTATACTATACGCTCCTCCCGTGTATGGTCCAGTGATGTGTCGCCGTCTTTGCCGTTCGTAATAATGGCCCAGCAGCTCACCACACGTACACTCACTTATCGCCAACGGCACAGCGGTACTCTCGAGTACGTACTGTACCTACTGACCGGGCACTCTAGCACTTTCTGGCAGTACCGTACCTCACTATCTGGCTTGAACGAGTGGGGGCGCAAATCCAGGTACGAGTCGCTTGGGTCAGCTAGCACGTGGGCAGGCGGCCTCAGTTCTTCTAATAATAGCTCTCTCTGATCTTAAGTGAGCCGTCCGTCTCTTAGGTCGTAGTGAAAGGTAGAAAGATGGATTCTTGCGGTAAAGATTCGACCAGAAAGAGGAGTACGTATGGGTTTGAAGCAAACTTCGAGTTGAGATGTGGGATTTGGATAGATAGATTGTAGATGGATGTTGGTAAGTTGTCTCGGTGGTTAGATATTGTTTCCAAATAAGCGATCAGCGTTTCTCTTGGTGATACATGGGAGCTCTCAAGTACCCTGCCTACAGGCGACAGGCAACAACTGTAATCTACCTAGGCACCTCACGGCATGTAGCAGGCATGCGTGTACCTACCCACTGCCCCCAATTCTTAGGTGCAATCCTACCTCCTGTAGGTATGCGGGATAGTGAAGTGGATAGGTAGTGATGCTGTAGAAGTGTTGTAATACACTACCTAGGTACCTAGGTAGGTAGAGATACCTATCCGACACTAAGCTCACTAGGAGAGGTACGCTACCGATACCTGCACTACGCCTGTTACTTGGTCTAACGGCCGAGGTCCATCCCCACTTCGTACATCACCCAATGTATGTACACTACCACTAGCTTTGGCAAGGTAACTAGCTACAACTGAAGTAGTTTAGCGCACCTATATAGGGCTATCCCTGGCCAGTACTAGTAGACTTATATGTACAAGTAAGAAGTGTCTAGGTAGGTGTAGTGTGTGGGCAGATCGCTTCTCTCCTATTTACTTTTCTCTACTCCGTACATACCTAGGTAGTAGATAATAACAAGGAGTAACTGTTCAAGTATCAAGCTTTTTAATCATTATTTATACTACAGAGCAGTTATTTCAAGGCTACGGCTAGAGCGTTGCTTATACATCAGGTATAGACCGGAAACTCGGCCTGAATGCCAAGCGCAATAGGGCATTGGCATCCCGGGTAGCTGGACACAACACGGCATCGGTAGATCCGAGTGCGTGCCTAGGCCTACGTATTCAAGGCCCGTACGCTGACAAGTTGAAACAGCGAGGCAGATTCCTGCTTGTACACTATGAAATACGATATCCAAGCCCATTATCATAATACAACACGAGGGCATATGGCATCCTCTAATTAAGTTATTCTCTCTCCGTAGGGTTCAACTCTGCGAGTAAAGATCCTATTACTATGCAGTCCTAACCTACTAGCGTCAAAGCTCGCCTTGAGGATTATACATGCCATCTATCCTTTGCTAAGTGCGGAAGAAGAAATGGGAAGATGAAGTATCATCACTCGAAATAGTAGTCGTTTATTCAACAATGCAATTAGTTACCTAGTACGCGGTTTCTTGGCAAGGTATATAAATACTATTAATGTAGCTATGCATGAGATTTTTTAGGATGATCATTAATCCAGCGGAGATTTATGCGCGGTACTTCTTCCAATGGTTTGCTACGAAAATAGAGTGAAGTTACATCTTGTGTCCATAAGTGCACGAGTGATGCGTCACCACGATATATCACTGCAAGCCAGCTTATGCACAGCGCTCTATCCTAATTATTCTGTGTACTACGTATTCTAAAGTTTTTGGCATGGCGTGTCTGGTGTTACAGTCCTATAGATATCCACAATGGCTGCAACCTCAGATTTTAACTTGATTTGGAAAATGTAAGACTCTTTAAAAAATCATTGTTGAGCAGGGAGCGATAAAAGTAGACAAATGTCATCTGAGAATGTCTAATTTTCCAACACGAAACTATTCTTTACAAGTCACTAACAGGACGATAAATACGATTCCATTTTCATGTCATACTAGAGCGAGCAGCGTATATAATGTAAGTAAACATGGAGTACCTTGTTAAATTTATTTAAAGGCCTAGGGGTCCAAGCCAAACATCCGGGTTTACTAGATAAACAAGGCATTAGGGACGGCAAATGCTACATGGAGGCAGGTGGGTAGGAGTATATTTTCAGATGTCCGAAGCCTTCTTATTCTTTTCTTATTTGTAGCCGGTTTTGTTCTGTGAGATGCATACTACTCAAGGTGTTTATACCTAACGAGATGTTTGTGACCCATAAGATTTAGTAGTCTCTTTACTAAGATATGTGCTTGTTGTTTATTAATTTACTGCCAACGTGTTTAATTTGTAGCATAACAAATATAACCGGTTGATTTATTTAAATATAAACTTGCTTAGTCTAGGTGCCCACCCTGTTCTATATTAAAAGGCGGTAGCCAACCGATTGGACAATATAGTAATTTATTTACTACACACAGCAAAGAAGCGAGTTAACCAACAGGAGAGATGGAAAGAATACGCAGTAGAGAGAAATCAAGTGACAACATGTGGGGGCAATAGGGTAAGCACAATATAATGCATGGGTAGCTTTTCAATTTCATAATCAAACGGTGTTATAGTATAGTGGTTAGTACGACACGTTGTGGCCGTGTAGACCCAGGTTCGATTCCTGGTAACGCCAACACCGTCTTCTTTTTCCTTTTTCTCCCTCATACATATTGCATTCATGTACAACCGGTTTTCTCTCTCATATCTTCTTTCTTCATTCCGTGTTTTTTCTCTTCTAACAGATTAAATGAGCTAATAGGACTAATTTGTTATAGCCCACACCGTGGCCTAAGAAACAAACCAATTTCTAAACCGCGTAATAGCCTATGCTCTTAATATACGAAGACACTATAAATCTATAACTACATCTTTTGGATAGGAAGTTCATATTAGTGAGACGAATCTCGATTACTATCTATCGATACCTATAGGGGGATGTTAAGTCGCTATTAATAGAGTCGCAAAAATGCATCGACATTGGTCTCTATTAGTACCATATATAGACCTATCAATAAATGATGATAGGCCCTTCTTAGTAGTTTCACAACTCAATGAGATTTATCTAGACTAATCTCGGTGGTTGTCCATCAATAGATTACACTTCCCCGCGCACGAAATTATGTACAAGTAGCAAATTACCCGCTCATGGAGGCTATTTAATCAGAAGCAGAGTAGGTTGTAATCCTGTTCCTCCAAGGCGTGCCAAAGAACTTTATCATTAAAAGCATACGCCTAGTTCCCACTGCGTTTCATGTATTGTCACATGTCTTCGATGGGCTGGGGTCCTCATTTCTGAGGCAACATCGCAAACATCATACCTCTTTTGTGGTGTCACGTTTTCTATACGCGTCCGCGCGTCTTTACTCCTCATGTGGCTTCTTGGGGAAGTGTATCGGCGTTTTGCCCGGTCGCATTACTAGAAGGTCTTGTTGCATTATCTGGAGGGTCGTCACCCGAAGGAGATCCATGGGCCTCGGGACTAGCAAGAGAAGTATTTTCATTGGCGTCCTCCGATTCTGCCTGGGCCGCCGCCGTCGCAGCCGCTTGGGCTTCTTGTTGCCGTTGCCTTTCGGCTCGAGCCTCTGCTTCGACCTGAGCAATGTGCCTTTCAGCTAAGCCTGGGGCGAGACTAGCGATGAAAAGGATTCCAGCACGCCCTAATCGTCTTACTTGATTCAATAACCAATTGGCGTTATCTTCACGGCGCTGTTGAACTAACCTGGCTGCCGCATCGGCCGGGTTTGGGTCCCCTGGTCTTGCGGGACCGGCTCCATTCGTATCACCACCCTGAGCGTTTTCAGCAACCGGGCGTTGCTGTTGGTGGCCTTGTGCATCCGCCGCAAGAGGTATTAGATTCTCTAATTGGCGGCGCAAAGGGGTCCATATTTGCTCGGCGAAGGGATTTAGAACTCCAGTGTTGACAATGAACAAGGTGATGGCAATTGAAACCACCGTGATCCATCGGGACCAACTAGATGTCGGCGAGGTAAACCACCAAATAAACAAACCTAGGCGAATGATCATCCAGATATGTGGCCACACTTGTGCTATTCTAATGGCTTGATTTTGGGGATTATCCAAACCATGGCCAAATTGAGCTTGTATTGGGGCGGGCACTTGTAATTCCTGTTGTGGCTGTAGATGAGGTTGCTGACCGGGTGGTGGATTGTTGATCTGAGGTATCGCTGTGTTTCCAATGCCAAACTGAGACCGTCGAGCGATCTGAGGTAGGGCGAGGTGGCGAGCATGGGGCGGAAGGGGAAGGCCCATAGGCCGATAACTATGGAGTTGAGGACTATAATATGTCCCTTGGCCGCCATTCAACAATATTGCCTGGGGGCCACTCGGTGACGAGAGAATATATACTTCCGGAGCTGGTGAAGATGTTTGAGCTGCGTGTATTCCAGTAGAAGCATTAGGAGAACGCCCGATTGCTTGGAGGGGGGAGGGGGTACCAGCTGCACTCCCAGTACGTGATGGAATAAGCGGTGTAGTCACTCCGGGGGGAATAGGCTGCTGGCCCTGATGACTCGCTAAGTTCGCTAGCGAAGAGCTGCTAGCATTCCTTCGCATAGCATCAACCATAGCACGCGTTGCAGGTCCTGCATCCGCTGCGCGCAAAGCATTTTGAACGTCATAACCTCCCATTGATACCACGCCAGGCACCGACCGAGGCTGGGCATTCGTAGGAGTAGGGACCCCGGCCGAGGAAAGAGGAGAACTAGCTCTCCCGGTTCTTTGTGACGTAGTGACAATCGATTCATTGACAGTAAACCGCCACCGCTGTCCATCCGGGCCAATACCTTCACGGACGACGGTACGAGTGGTTTCGGGTTGAAATGGCGACCCCGCTCTGCCCGGTGAAGTAGATCCCGGGCCTCCACGGTTCTGCGTACTATGGTGGCCCATTGGGTGCTGACCTGGGATTTGATTTTGATTTGGAATACCCAAACGAGCCATCGCTTGAAGTTGGGCCTGTAAGAATTGCTGCGATGACCAGCCAGGTGGAAGCTGAGTGCCGGTGTGAGTTGGCGGTTGACCGAGGCCGATGGCGACGTTAGGATGCGCTGTTCTGATAAAAGTCTGGCCGTTCTGGCCGTGAGGCTGTTGGAGATGTTGGGGATATTGATGCCCAGGGGTTTGAGAGCGGGAGCCTGTGGGCTGGCTGGAAGTGAGCGAAGGAGTCGGTGTCGGCTGGGTCTCGGCAAGATCGCGCAGGACAAGATGTAGAGTCTGGCGTTCTGTAGATCGAAGCTGGACAGCGAAGATGTTAATATTTATCTATGTTTCTTCAAGACGTCAAGGGTTCAAGTGTTCGACCTACCAGTTCTTCGCCAAACAACTCAAGCATAGTCTCGGAGTCCCGTATCAAGAGCCGCCCTCTGTGGATAAGTCGCTGAGCGTCATCTGGCGGCTTTGTGCTTATAGAGCTCCGTATCCGCTCTTTTAGCTGCTGAACTGTTGTTGCCACGGGGAGCTCCAGGACGAGAGGCTGAGGCACGTTGACCGACGGCGACAGGACCTGCAGGGTGAACTGGCTGGGCTCCGAAGCCACAGCCTTAGCCTGGTCGGACATGGTTGCGGCGATGAGGGGGGGGGTGTGTGTGGGCGACGAAGGGACGGGCAACTTTTGGAGAAAGTACGGTCCAAAGGCGTCGTCGCTTATGCTATCAAATATTTGAAAGTTCAAAAAATTTATCAAAAGGAAAGAGGATCAGAGGCGATGGTGAGCATGTTAGGCAAACCAACTCCGGGATCAGCTGCAACTTGGTCCAAGAGAACACATCAGATTTGGCCACGGCAAATATGAAAGGTAAAGTAGCAAGAGAGACCGATAACAATCACGCGCTGGGATGAATTGTAAGGACAGCAAGTCCAACGGCAAAGACAATAGAAAAAGAAATATACAGAAGAAACATGCCTACTGCGAATCAACCACAGACAAGCCTGTTTGGCTTCGTGATGTTGTTAATAAGCTATGGTCTCGCTGTCCTTAAGAAAGTACGTAGGGTAGGTACCTTATGTGGGCTATTACCACTCACATTAGGTACTTTCTAGGTAACTGCAACTACCTTGGTAGTATATCACACGCGGAAATAAGCATAGCTATATCATGGTTAGACACCTAAATACATATATATACCTTGAGTATGTGCTGCACTGTACATCGATCACCCCACACGACGCAATGGCCGCCAAGTTAGGTCTAGCGTTTCGCCAAGTCCACGTTGGAAGGGACCCGTCACTTTGGCATCTGCCCACTTCTACCGCCCAAATTCTTACAGTCTTACAAGGGCAAGTACAAGGGGCAGCTAAAGCTAATACCAGCTGCGCAGCTGCGTCATTGGAGGGAGGATCACTATAGTGGTATTGTATTTTGTACTAGAAACTCTACATTGCATGTTTCCATGCTTTTCACCTCCTCAAGAGCCTGCATGTCTACAATTTCATATCCTGACACCGAAAGGAGCCTCGAATCTTAACGACAACAACTACACTCTCACAAATTATCATTTGTAGCTGTGGGGTTTCTTATGAGAGCTCGTTACGCAGGTTACAAGCCTATGACAATGGCGACTTCGTCAACGTTCTTCATCCGGGGACGAGTCCGCCTCCCTTCGAGCATAGAACCACAATGTCTCTGTCCCCAGCTGAGAGCAATTGGCATCCGAGGGTCCGCGCGTCGCTCTGCAGCAAGCCCAAGGGCCTCGTTTCATACTTCACAGCGCGTATCCCAGAACCGAGATCGCTTCGGTTCCAGACTTCGACATGCCCTGAACGACTCCAAAATCAAATGGTACCCTATACCTGTAGGGCTGGGCATAGGATTTCTGGGCCTTATGCAGTTTTATAAGACACAGACACGTGAAAGAGAAAGACTAGAAAGGGAGGCATCCCAGGAAGAAGAACCGCGGCCTAAGAAGCGGCCGAGGGTACGCCCAGATGGACCATGGTAAACCGGACAACTCCAGAGCCCAGTGATCCGTTTTAACTTACACTCGATTCTGTATAGGCAGGTCCAAGTCATGTCCACTTTGCCTCTCAAGGCCATATCGAGGTTGTGGGGTAAATTTAACGAGCTCACTATCCCGTATTACTTGCGCGTGCCTGGCTTTAAACTGTATTCCTTCATCTTTGGGGTGAACTTGGATGAGGTATCAGAGCCCGACCTCCATGTGTACCCCAACTTGGCTTCTTTCTTTTACCGGACCCTGAAGCCCGGTGTGCGGCCGCTAGACCCTAACTCGAATGCGCTACTGTCGCCTGCCGACGGCCGAGTGTTGCAATTTGGGAAAATCGAGGGAAATGACATTGAGCAGGTGAAGGGCATGACCTACACTGTAGATGCGCTACTAGGAAAGAATACTCCAGCCCCTAGTATCTCGAGTGCGAGGTCTGAACCGAATGCCGAAAGTGCGCGAAAGGGTTTGCGCGCTGAGCAAGAGCAACATGGAGACGCGGAGCTAGTGAAAGCCGACGAAGAATTCGCTCGTGTAAATGGCATATCATACACGATTCCGGACCTCCTCTCTGGTGGTCCCGAGGAAAGCCATGAAAATCCAAAGATAGAGGACCAAAGCGCGGTTCAATCCAGCCCTGGTGCTGTTTCTGAGGTCAGAGCTGATCTCGCGC